ATCTATGTTGTTATCATTGTGATTTGAATTGAAATGATTTCAAACTTATTAAATTTGTACTATAACGATTTGGATGTCGTTGTCTTATTTTATGGGTTTGATACATAACGATACTATTATCGTTTCAGTACAATTTTGGTAACATTGATATCGCTTGAGTTTAAATCTTAACTAAAACGATAAATAAAAACGATAATTATAAAAATGACGATTCGATCATCCATGGTCACCTGACATATATTTGTCGTATGTAGGTTGATAACATAAGTCATCAAGTGAGTTCGATCTTATTCAACAGAAATAAACATAGTATTTCCATTCACTCTTTCGGAGCCTTTCAAGTGCTATCAATCCACTTGATACCTTCTTTCAGTCTATATTGTTCTAATTATTATTTAAGCTATAATGATTTCAAACTCGTTAAATTTGAAAAGAAACGATGTATATATTGTTCTAGTTATTATTTTGTACCTAGGAAAAAATTTTAAAATCGTTATTAGAATAAGAGCATTTTATACTAGAACGACATCAACTATTTTATGTGTCACCGGAACGAAGTGTATGTCATTACATGAATATGCACAATGTTCACATTCTGAACATGTACAATACGTAAACTTGAAAAAAAGTCACGAAAATATGTAAATTTCAATTACATCTAATATCGTAGTTATAACATTCTAGTGTAACCACTCCTGAAATGATATGCATGACATTATAGTTACAATTAAATATGAACGATATCGTTGTCGTCGAAAATTGTATTAAACGACATAAACAATGTTTACTTATTCCATAGCGTGCGCCTAAACTTGTTAAACAGTGAAGCAATGTGTGTTCGATATTGAAACGACATATACATTGTTTTTTGTATTTTAGAAACGCGTTCAATGTCGTTATATAAATCAGTTAAGTAGAATGTATTCGGTGCTGAAACGATATCGAAGTCATTTTATGTTTCAGGAACGATTTCAATGTCGTATGCAAATCAGTGAAACAGTATCAGCAGCTCATTTCCATTCCTCATTTTTATTAAGTTGATAAGTTATATTTTATGATTTCTTCAAACTACAATATCTTGGTGCTGGCTTATCCGAATCGACTTTTTCTCGAGTCGAATAGTTCTTATTAATACAAGCTTTAAAATGAGTCAAATATCGATATATTACATCGCTTTTTATTAAAATCTAATTATTGGACTCTAAATAAGATAGAAATTTAAAAAATATTTTTTTGTCCATTTTTTTAAAAATATAACGATATAATTTATTTTAAACTTATTAAATTTGTACTATAACGATTTGAATGTCGTTGTCTTATTTTATGGGTTTGATACATAACGATACTATTATCGTTTCAGTACAATTTTGGTAACATTGATATCGCTTTAGTTTAAATCTTAACTAAAACGATAAATAAAAGCGATAATTATAAAAATGACGATTCGATCATCCATGGTCACTTGACATATATTTGTCGTATGTAGGTTGATAACATAAGTCATCAAGTGAGTTCGATCTTATTCAACAGAAATAAACATAGTATTTCCATTCACTCTTTCGGAGCCTTTCAAGTGCTATCAATCCACTTGATACCTTCTTTCAGTCTATATTGTTCTAATTATTATTTAAGCTATAATGATTTCAAACTCGTTAAATTTGAAAAGAAACGATGTATATATTGTTCTAGTTATTATTTTGTACCTAGGAAAAAATTTTAAAATCGTTATTAGAATAAGAGCATTTTATACTAGAACGACATCAACTATTTTATGTGTCACCGGAACGAAGTGTATATCATTACATGAATATGCACAATGTTCACATTCTGAACATGTACAATACGTAAACTTGAAAAAAAGTCACGAAAATATGTAAATTTCAATTACATTTAATATCGTAGTTATAACGTTCTAGTGTAACCATTCCTAAAACGATATGCATGACATTATAGTTACAATTAAATAGGAACGATATCATTGTCGTCGAAAATTGTATTGAAACGACATAAACGATGTTTACTTATTCCATAGAGTGTGCCTAAACTTGTTAAACAGTGAAGCAATGTGTGTTCGGTATCGAAACGACATATACATCGTTTTTTGTATTTTAGGAACGCGTTCAATGTCGTTATACAAATTAGTTAAGTAGAATGTATTCGATGCTGAAACGATATCGAAGTCATTTTATGTTTCAGGAACGATTTCAATGTCGTTATGCAAATCAGTGAAACAGTATCAGCAGCTCATTTCCATTCCTCATTTTTATTAAGTTGATAAGTTATATTTTACGATTTCTTCAAACTGTAATATCTTGGTGCTGGCTTATCCGAATCGACTTTTTCTCGAGTCGAATAGTTCTTATTAATTACAAGCTTTAAAATGAGTCAAATATCGATATATTATATCGCTTTTTATTAAAATCTAATTATTGGACTCTAAATAAGATAGAAATTAAAAAATATTTTTTTGTCCATTTTTTTTAAAAATATAACGATACAATTTATTTTAAAAAATTTTGTGTGTTCTAATAGGTGTCTAATGAATAAATGACTAAGTAATTATTTTCGACTAGCTACTAAGTTGTGGACAATATTAAAACTTTGGGTGCACCCAAGATCAATTACGAAGAAGAGATAGCCTTAAAAAGAAGAGTTCAAATTCTAAGGAGAAGAAAATTTTGAAGGGAAAGATTTTTTGAATTTAAAAGAAGAAAATGATGTGTGTTAAAACATGAATGCATAGTTATTAGAGTCAACCCGATGGTTCAACCGGTGGGTTATTGTTAACTTTTATTTTTGAAGTGAAAATGAAACAATATTTTGAAATGCAATATATATATTTTGCTCCAAAATAGGGTTGGCAACGGTTCGGTTATGAGTCGGTTCGGCCAAAACCATAACCGCACCACCAAATTTTTTACCATATCATAACCGTATCATAACCACGTAAATCGGTTCGGTTCGGTTCGATTTTTATCTCGGTTCGGCACAGTTCGGTTTGGTTAATAACCACGAAAATAAATTATTTTTTATATGTTCATCAGTCAAATTGATATAAAACAATTTATGAAAAAAGTCAATGAAAACAAAAACACAATATTCCAAACGAAAATGCAAACATTATCAAACAATATTCCAAACGTAAATATAAACATTATCCTAATTTTCAATTGTAAAATACAAATTTAACAAACAATAGTATAAATATAATAATACTAAACTTTCCTTCATTCTTAATTGTTGTGCATCGAAGTTACATGATGCATTCTTCCCTACAAGTCTTATTAGTATAGATCAGCATTCAAAGTTGGTTCCTATTCATCCTTGGCAATATTGGGACGTCTAGAAAAACATCGAACTTTGTTTTTACATGATCAGTAGTAATAGAATGACTAACAAATGTAACAAATTTTCGAAGGCGACGATAATTTGGACCGTAGAGGCAATGAAGCCGTGCGTGAGTTTGTGGTTGTGGAGAGTAGGGTTTGCATTTGTATACTGTTATACTAATGCTATTATGGGCTAATGGTAAGTAGACTGATCGAATGAGTTAGGTAGATGTAATGAAGAGGGGAGGGATTTTGTTTTGATTTTGATGGAAAAGTAGTGTAAAACCCATTATCAATTCAATCTTTTTTTTTTAGCGGGTAATCGATTTGGTTTCGATTCGACGACGTAAATACCATACCCGCACCATTACGAACCGGTTCATTAAAATCAAAATCATATCCGCCCCATTGCACAATCGGTTCGATTTTTTTCGCCCCATTCGGTTCGGTTAACTGCGATTTTCGATTTTGACGGTTCAAATTGCCATCTCTACTCCAAAACATCACTTGCCATAATGGTTGTGGAGTTAAAATATTTTCTTACCATCTAGGTTCAAGTTACGGCTCTAGCAAATTTAGAAAAAAACTTCAATCTCTTATTCATTTTTGTTTTACAAGTTTAGGATAAAAAAGTCTTTTGACATTTTTAAATAATTAAAAGTTCCTTTTATTTTTATAATTTTGATCAAAGGTTATAATTTTGGTTAAAGGCCGATTGAGCAAAATATACATTAGGTTGGCCATCCTAACTCAATTCCCCTATTTGAAAATAGGAGGAAGCGGAACCGGAGAGAAAACCTCATCTTTGACTGCAATACGTTCCGACTCTACTGTACGGTGCACACTCTCCTCTCTAGTTACTACCAGTACCATTTTTAATGGATGCGCCGTTTATTCCAAAGCGACAGTACGATCCGGCCACCGAACCTTTCAGCCCATCGGCAAAACGCCGCCACCAACCGCCGCCAGCATCCTCCTCAACACCTCCGCCCTCAATCTCCCACCGTCCGCCTCCGAATTTAAAAATCTCCGCCAACGAAACCCTGTTCCGCATCCTCTGCCCTGCTAACAGGACCGGAAGCGTCATCGGGAAAGGCGGAGCTGTCGTCCGCCAAATCACGGATGAGACCGGAGCCAGGATCCGTATCGATGATGCCCCTCCTCACTTCCAAGAGCGTGTTATTGTAGTTATCGCTGACTCGACTAAGAAAGATAATTCAGATAATAGTAATTCGAGTTTAAATAATGAGGAAGAGGGATTGCATTCAGCCGCACAGGTTGCGTTGGTTAAGGTGTTCGAGAAGATTATAAAAGTGGATGGAGAGGGTAGAGAGGAAGGGGCTGATGTAAATGTAGGTGGGGGAGTGGTATCTTGTAGGCTGTTGGCTCCGATTATGCAGGTTGGGTTTGTTTTGGGGAGAGGAGGGATGAATTTGGAGAGAATTAGGCACGAAACTGGAGCTCTGGTCAAGGTTTTGCCGAGAGATCAAATGCCACCATGCGCATGTCCAGGGGATGAGTTGATTGAGGTAGTGCTCTTATTCTCTGCTCGAATTTCTGTGGTGGAGCTCTTCTTATTTTGGTGTTCTTGAATTGAATGAGTTGGAATCTTAAAGAAGAAAGTTGATGAACTAAAAAGGCAACACTATTAGCTAAGAGATTTCCTCCTCTGTGGGGGTAAGCAACAATGTGTTACAAAACCCTTTTAAGAAATTGAATAGGTTGTTAGCTGTTGTTTTCAGCCCGAAAGGTTTTAGAAATATTATCACATTTTAAACTTATTTTTCGTGCTTGCTTCTAGCTACATCATCTGTGATTCAAGTGCGAAATAGCATACACGTGCTACATCTGTATTTGGATGTTACTCATATCAATATACGTGAAAAAAAATTTCTTCTATTTTTGTGAATGATAGTTCCAGCTCAAGAAAATGTAGCAAACTAGAGTCGAAAGGAAAAATGGAAGAAAAATGTCTAGATCTCTCTGGTAGTGAAATTATGTGAGTTGGATCACATAAACTAAGAACACATTGATGTCTATTACTTGTGCTGCATTATGGTAAGAGCATAAGAGGAGCTGAAACAATAAATCACATAGCCTAGGCACACTGCATGTATTGTTCGAGTAGCCTAGGCACACTGCATGTATTGTTCGGGTGAAGATAGTTGAAGTAATAAATTTCATGACAAGGTGGATAGGATCTCATACCTTGACAACCTACTTAATTAAGAGGAAGGAGATACACGGGAGAGAGGAACATGTGAGTATTATATGTTATGAAGTTAATTATGTTACTATATTGTTCTGCATAGCATAAAATAATCCCCAGTGGATGCCAGGCTGGATCCACGTATAAAAAAGGGAGACACATAGCCAACCAGAACGACATCACCACAAAATAGAGACAGGATAGGCTTTGCCCGGATTACTTCGCAAGGGCAAAGCTATAAAGACCACTTCTCCCTAGGTTTCGCGTAGACAAGGCCGAACCTTTACACTTGCAGAAATCATCCACTATTAAAATAAGAGATTGACTTGTCTCAACCAAAGCGCTGAGCCTTTATAAGCCTGCCAATTTACTTGGAGTAATTTAGATTCCAGCAAGATATATGAATCAAAGCTATAGGAACATTTAAGTACTTTGCCCCCTTAAAGGAAAATAAATAATATTCACCTGGCCACTTGGCAGCATAGGAACAGTGCCATGTAGCAAAAACGGTTAGTGAGCATGTGAGAAAGGTGATCTAAAGAATCTTATTAGAGTAATAACCTAAACAATAAGGGAGGTCTACGATTAATAGAACTATTTAAAATCATAAATCTGTTTCAAGCCTTCCAATGGTGAAGTGACATGTGTCCTGTAAAAAACCCAAAGGCTTAGGATATCTATAAATGCCCCAGAAAACAAGTGAAATCAGAAACCCTAGCCAAATTCTTTCTCTTCATCCTCTATCCTTTCCTTGGCGGCAATTCTCAGCACAATTTAGTCCTTAAAGTGGTTTGATGATTGAATAAAGGCTATAGAAGGGTGACTAGGCAAGAAGGTGGTAAGGGTTTGTTGGCTTCAACTTTTCAAGGTCAACAAATTACTAAGATTCAATAAGCGTGTTACTTAATGAAATTCGATCAAGAGTTACTGAGAATTAGAACTTCCCTTATTCTTCTTGTCCATTTATGCAAAACGATCCTTAAAGGAAAATAAATAATATTCACCTGGCCACTTGGCAGCATAGGAACAGTGCCATGTAGCAAAAACGGTTAGTGAGCATGTGAGAAAGGTGATCTAAAGAATCTTATTTGAGTAATAACCTAAACAATAAGGGAGGTCTACGATTAATAGAACTATTTAAAATCATAAATCTGTTTCAAGCCTTCCAATGGTGAAGTGACATGTGTCCTGTAAAAAACCCAAAGGCTTAGGATATCTATAAATGCCCCAGAAACCCTAGCCAAATTAGAAACCCTAGCCAAATTCTTTCTCTTCATCCTCTATCCTTTCCTTGGCGGCAATTCTCAGCACAATTTAGTCCTTAAAGTGGTTTGATGATTGAATAAAGGCTATAGAAGGGTGACTAGGCAAGAAGGTGGTAAGGGTTTGTTGGCTTCAACTTTTCAAGGTCAACAAATTACTAAGATTCAATAAGCGTGTTACTTAATGAAATTCGATCAAGAGTTACTGAGAATTAGAACTTCCCTTATTCTTCTTGTCCATTTATGCAAAACGATCAAGGTTGTTTCGCTATTACCTTTTAGCCAGAACAGCATGCAAGACTTTTCTTTTATCAACACACATTTGTTCATGCACAATTCAATTCTAGATTTCATAGATCTCTTTTCCTATTTTTAAGGTGCATTTGTTACACAAGCCTGTTCATGCATAATTATATTGACGTGTTTGAAGTGCAGATAAGTGGAACCTTTTCAGCTGCAAGGAAAACCTTGTTGTCAATTTCTGGTTGTCTTCAGGATAACCCCATGGCTGATGCATCCAGCCCCACTATTCCGAACTCCTCTGGTGTGGGACTTCATGGAAATGGTATGCGTCCACATATGAGCCCTTTTCCTCAACAGTGTTATGCACCTGGTCATCAAAGTGTGGATAATGGCATGAACAATAGGATTTACTTTGAAGATGAGGTGGTTTTTAAGTTGTTGTGTCAAGTTGACAAAGTGGGGAATTTAATAGGAAAAGGTGGCACAATAGTACGTGCGCTGCAGGCAGAAACTGGTGCATCTATCAAGATTGCTGAAGCAGCAGCTTCCGATTCTGATGAGAAAGTTGTCGTAATATCTGCACGAGAGGCATGTCAATTGATCTCCATTTCAATATGCCTAGTGCTTTTTATACCTTTTTGTTTCTTGTTATTTGCTTGCTTTATGTTTTTATAAGTGCATAATTTTGTTTTGTTGGACCACTAAACTAGTGGGTTCTACAAGACCATGGAGATGTATAGTCCAGCACTGAGGTAGACAGTACTTTTCTTTGTGTGGATGTTCAACCATGAATTTTGTTTTTTAATTCAACTCAGCTTAACTGGAAATATAAATTTCATTTTCATCACCTTAACGTTTGTGGACGTTTTCATGAAAAGTAAGTATAGAAACAACATTGCCCAGTTCTATGCTCTCTAATGTTACTGTCAGATGAATTGATAAATTCCATTTATTTACCTTTTTTTTATAGTACGAACACTTATTTGAGTTTCCCAAGTTTGTCTCACTGTCACCTCTCAAACTTCTGCAGAACTCTGAACAAAGTCGTTCTCCTGCACAAGATGCTGTTATTCGTGTACATGGAAGGATTGCTGAGATTGGATTTGAACCTGGTGTTGCAGTTGTTGCTAGGCTTCTGGTTCATTCCAATCAGATCGGTTTTCTCTTTGGTAATGGTGGAGCTTTCATTGCTGAAATAAGGAGAATGACTGGTGCAAGTATTTGCATATTTCCCAAGGAACAAGTTCTTAAGTATGGTTCCCCTAATGAAGAAGTTGTACAGGTACGTGTGTGT